GGGCAGTTGCAGTTCTGGATGACAAGTGTCCTGCTGAGTCTTCAGCAATGAGAGTGGGTAGGCAGCTCTTGAGGTTATCAGCCCAGTGTCCTCAGGCTCAGTGTTGGCAGACACAGAGCAATTTATCCTCAATGGAGTTCCACCCTGGCTGGAGAGGGTAGGCTGCCTTCACCCTTATATCCCAACAGCCCATGCTTGAGCTCAGCCACCTGGGGCTTGTGGTTTGCTTGTCTTTGCCCCTTCCTTGCCCAGCTGTGCAAAATCCTTCCAGGGCTGCTTTTACCATGGGAATGTGGAGGAACAGATTCAGGCTTCTTGTCTCCCAGTTGTTCTCAGGTTCCCAGTATTGCTTAGTTTCAAAAACTATGTTCTCCCTTAAGATATATCATTTATCCCTTGCACTTTAAGTAACACAGCAACAAATGACAAAATGTAACACTGTCTCATCAAAAGCTGTAACTTCTATTAAGTCTTGTGGGGTGTGTGTGTGTGTGTGTGTGTGTGTGTGTGTGTGTGTTGAGGGTAGGGTTGCCAGTCTTTCTTCACCATGGCCATTTGAGTTACCTTTTGTAGAAGACATCTGCTTTCTCTCTCCCAATAGGCAGCCATGTGGCTAAAGCTTGGCTTTTGTTCTGTGTGCCCATCTTCTTTGTGCCTCCAAGTGTCCTGTTAAGGCCTTTGTGAGTTCTGAAGGGCTTCCTTTTTCTCTCCCTTTGGAATAGAATCTTTCTGGGTTTTGTTTGTTTGTTCTTTATTTTACTTGTGCTGATCCTTCTTCCATCTTGCACAGATACTCTTATTTGACATTTCTGAGATCCTTGGTAGAAAAGAAAAAAACAACATCTGAATTTTTTTAAGTTGTCATTACCTCCACCCCTAGCACAGGCATGACCAAAACTGGACACAGTGTAAAATGTTCCAGGAGTCTCCTTGAGAAAAATAGCATCTGCTTTATGAACAAAGACCACCTTTCTCTCTCACACACAACTGAACAACTCCATCTTATATATTTTAATTATGTTTCTTTCATTATTTTTTCCACTTACAATTTTTAATTTTTAGAGACATTTTTAAAAGACTTGCTTTTCTCTATATTTAGTTCTGCTATTTTTGTGAGATGGAATTCAATCACAGCCTAATATTTCAAAAACAAAGAATTTATTAATGAGTCTTAGATAAAAACTGACAAGTTTGGAGCCTTTTGTCCCCCTCACTCTTAAAAATATTGACACATACTATGTTCTTTCTAGATGTGATATATTTCTGTTTTAATATCCCATCTCCTTTCAGAGAGTTTTGGTTTTACTGATGCAAAATACTGCCTCTACTATGGTAAATCATAGTAAACAACAAATCTAAACAATCTAAAAATATGTCTAGATTGCTTTCATTGGACATATTTTCTCGAGTCAGTTAAAATCTGTGTTTAACCTAGTACCAAACTGGGGACTAATGGTTGGAAAATTAAAATATTCTTATAATCTTCTTGTCAGTGTTTGATTTTGCTTATCAATAGAATTGAGTTATTTAGTACAATGGAGAAAAGTGTGTGAGCAATTTAGTTATGCCTGATTTCTTTCTTATTCAGAGGTTGGGCCTTCCTTTCTCAGAAAGTAAAGAAAAAGCTCCCATCTCGGAGGATGCCTTCCCATAGAGATTAGGCTGAAGTCCAGAGTTATGAAACAGTGTAATCACGCTGCAGGCAGTCTGTGGTCTTTATCTGTGTATGTCTCGAAACAGGGAAGGTCTCCATCTGTCCCCACGCTTTAGAAATAAAAGACGATTGAGTTGCTTCTTCCAGTAAAAGCCTGATCACAGAGGAACTCAATGTGAGGCCATCAGAGCATTCAAAAATCAACTCCTACAGCTTTCTTTGTTTAAACAAAACAAAGCTTAAGAAGCTAACTTGGTAAAATGAACGGTATTTAAAAGAGTAGCTAGCTGTAACTAGAACTAGTAATTAGGCAAAAGTGTGTTGCCTAATTTGGATCACAAAAGACATATAGGTCAAATAATAGCCTTATATCAACTACATATCAGTAAAACAATTAAAAAGAATCATTTGTTGTGAATCTTTAGTTAAAAACATCTGTTTAGGGCATGAAGAAATATAGTTGTATGTTTAGCCTCCTTTGTGTACAACTTATTGTCTCTTTCTTGTCTTTCTGTATTTTATATTTATAAGACACAATAAATCATTCTGCCCCTAATTTTGCTTAAAATAGAATTTTAATTAAAATTTTGGAGGCTAAAAAATAAAAAAACAAAAAACAAAACTAGTTAATATGCTAGGACATAAAACACACAGGCATTAAAAAGAGACTGAAGCTTCACAGGATGGGAATGATAAAGGAAGCCAAGGAACACCATGATGTGAGTCTGGGCCAGAATGTGGGATTGTTGACTAGAAAGCCCACCCACTCACTTGATTTTGAGCTAGAGCACACCCCTAAGAAGGTGCATATTCTTCCTTCCGTAAGAATGAGCGAGCATGAAAAACCCCTTTTACGGCCTTCCATGTTTGTAGCAACTGTGGAATTATCAAATGTTGCACCAGATCCTCATTGGTTGGTGGATAAGCCTGGATGAGAGAGTATACTCTTCTAGAACTATCTTTAGGTTGCTTTGCTTATTCCAGGCAAATGCCATATTGCAACGCAGTTTTAACAGGCAAAGCCTCTCAATTCGTCAGTGTTTCCATCTATGTCTTTTCCTCTCACCATGTAGTTTGGCAATTTTAAGGGAAATGATTGTTCTTCGGGGGAATTCTATGACATGATAGCTGCAGAACTTACATCTGAACAAAAGAGAAGTATTTAAAATCTTTTGAGGGCCTGCTTGGAATTCCTATGAAAATGTTACAGGCTTGGGCTCTTGATCTGGTTTGTTTTTCTGCCAGTTAAAAAAAAAAAAAAAAAAAAAAAAAAAGAATAAAAAGGCAAAAAAAAAAATTTCACACAGTAGACAGCAATATTAACAAACCTTATTACAAATGAAGACACACTGAAGACACACACATATGCGTGCACACACACATACACACACTTCCTTTCTCTGGTCTGAAGAGACTGCTCAGCAGTTAAAGCTCTTGCTATGTAAGAAAGAGGACCAAAGTTCAGATCCTCAAAGCCTGCCTAGTGTGGCTTGCTTATAATTTCCACCTATTAAGGCAAGATAGGCAATCTCTGGAGCAAAATGGCCACATTGGCAAACTCTAGGTTTGCTTGGTAGACCCTGATATAAGGGTCTACCAAGGATGATATAAGGATGATATAAATAAGTGGAAAAGTGATCCAAGAAGATTACCAAGGCAAGCACTAGTCCTCTGCATCCAAGCATGCACACATACGCACCCACCTATTCACAAATGCACCCACTTATGCAATCATGCATAAACGTACATGTGCACATAATACACACGCATGCACACACGCACACACTAAAAGAAGAAATTACAAAGCAAACAAAAAACACAAAACCCTCAGCTTCCTCAGCACTAACACAAAAATATCCTGCCCCAAATCAAATCTTATCAAGGAGCCTTATTTCTGCAAGTTTATAGGGAGAGCATTCACGTAAGACAATGCCTGCAAATTGTCTGCAATTCCCTGTAGAAACCTGGAGAGCCATGAACAGGATGGCTTTAGGGTATATACAGAATGAACTTAATTGTCAGTGCTACTGGGGTCATGTGAAAGGTCACCAGGCGAGTAGCATAGCCCAAATGACTAGCCCCACCTAGGCTACATTCTAGTTCGTCTTCTTATCCTAAAGTGATCCAGGGTTTATTTTTTGTAGTGGATTATTATTTCTTGAGCCTTTACTCTGCTGACAATAGCCCATTCATGGCTGAAGAAGGTAAGATCCATGAGGATCATGTGGTCAGGAGATAACACAGCTGAAAAGCTGGCAGAGCTGTACTATCTAGGATAGTTGTTTGGTAAAACTCATAATTACACATTTGGCTGTTCATTTAATTAATTCATTCTCCATGCTATTAGTTGATATTATTGGTACACTTAAGTGTATGCAAACTTAAGACTCATACAATTTGAAGAGTAGACCCACACTAGGGTCTGGTTCTTATGGTTGGAACACAAAATATCATTAACTCCCACTTAATTAGTATGCATAACAAGGTACAGTCCCTGGAGTCTAAATAGCACAATTCAATGCTTTTCTTGGGCCTTTTTCTTTTGTAAAAAGCGTAAGTGTTATTGGTCACAGAACATATAAGCCGAAATCCCCAAAATGTTCATGTTAATACAATCATCCTCACTCATTCTGAGAGAAATGCACAGGTTCCTTGTGATGGTGACCTTCTCTGTTAGCCAATCTTAAACACTCAGTGCTGTAAGCATGAACAAAGAGAAAGCAACTGCAATGCTTTCTACAACAGCATCAGTTCAAAGAAGACACTCCTCTGAGGTTGAATCTGATCAACAACTGTGGTTCCAAATTACTAGAATTACAAAATCCTTCATAGACATTTCAGAGGGCCCAGAGATAGGCCATAGGGTCAGGGGTTAAAAAGAGAGAGGGCGAATGACTACCTCACCCAGCAAGAGCCATTCTGGACTATGAGAAGGGATGGGATACATCAAGAATGACTGAAATATTTAATGAAGATAATCATAATTTAACCTATAAAAGGATAAAATTTGATCCAATTGAACTGGTGCTAGAGAAACCAGAAAATGGCTCTTCTTTGGGAACAGGACTTTTACTGGCAGTCCACTCCTTCTAGAATCAATTTGGTTGAAGGAGGCAGAGGTTCCAGGACGGCATGAATAGAAAGGCGCCTCGCAGTTTTGTTCTTGTTCCTGCGTGAATGCAGAGAAAAACACTCCTGAAATAATGCTGTCCGTCCTGTTCCCATCTCCCCAAAGGGCAGCCCCCTCACCATTTACTTCCCTCAACACATCGTTTCATATCTGTCAGGATGTGACAGAAGTTGCTGGGTTTTCCTGACCCTCTTCAATGTCTCCTTTCTCCTACAGAACCTGTACCAGAACAGGTTTTTAGGCCTGGCTGCCATGGCGTCTCCATCTAGAAACTCCCAGAGCCGGCGCCGCTGCAAAGAGCCCCTCCGCTACAGCTATAACCCAGACCAGTTCCACAACATAGACATCAGGAATGGCGCCCACGACGGCATCACCATCCCTCGCTCCACCAGCGACACTGACCTGGTCACTTCAGACAGCCGCTCTACACTCATGGTCAGCAGCTCCTACTATTCTATAGGGCACTCCCAGGATTTGGTGATCCACTGGGACATCAAGGAGGAAGTAGACGCTGGAGACTGGATTGGCATGTACCTTATTGGTGAGTACATCACCACCACGGCTCTACTCATTAGAGCTACTGATTCATCCAGAGAGGCTGACGGTGTGCCCTGAAGAGGAAGGTCTTATGCATGTGGTTTGATAGTTCAACAAGAATCTTATTCATAATTCATAATGCGTGTGTGTGTGTGTGTGTGTGTGTGTACTAAAGGTGAAACAATATACATTCTGATGTTTTATTAAAATATTAGAAAAATTTGGCTTCTGATTAGAAAAATTTAATAATTTTAAAGTTTTCAAATAAAATAACATCTATCTAAAACAGAGATTACAAAATCACAGCAACCTATCAAGCATATACTTTTAGTTCATGGTGTTTTGTTGTATCTTTGGCTATCAGCGCTAAATATCCAGATATTCTGCCCTATAGTCCTTTTTTGGTTTGTTTGTTTGTTTGTTTGTTTGTTTGTTTGATGTCTTGACAAAAGACCCCATTTGGACAGCCTGAATCTGTAAGGCCAATAGGGCTCTAAATAGCTACAGTTAAGCATTCATTACTCCCTTGAATGGTCTGAAACTTTAGTTTTGCCTCAATCCCCATTCCATCTTACTGTGGCTTTAATTGGGAACATAATTTCTCACTTGAAGGAATTGTTTGTTTCGTGTGCACATACACAAGTGCATAATCTTAAGCCAACTCTTCACGGGAGCGTCTTCCCTCAGTTTGTGAACACTGATGCCATTTCTCAAGATAAGGAGAAAAAAAAGACAACACCGTTGGAGAAGACAAAGAGCTGAATATGAAACTTATCGAGTGTGAAACACAGCAGGAATAAATGGGCTGGTTAGTTTTAGTCTACTTGACACAAACTAGTGAGACCTAGGAAGAGGGACTCTCAGCTGAGGAACTATGCTCATCAGGTTGCTCTGTATGTGTGTGCTTGTAGGGCATTTTCATGATTAAGGTTGAGGTCAGAGGGCACAGCCCATTGTGGGTGTTGTCATCCCTGGGCAGGTGGCCCGGGGTGGTATAAAAAGACAATCTGTGTAAGCCACGGGAACAAGTCTGTAAGCAGCATTACTCTGTGCATCAATTCATGCCTCCTACCTCTGCAGGTCAACATATAGATAGAGCCAAGCTAGAGTTTGTCAAACTGTGGCTTGGTACCCTGTGAGTAGATAAGCTTAATCACAGTTGTGTAGGGTAAGAAAGCATTAGAAGGTGCCTAAAAGAGGAAGGAAGAAATATAGAGGAAGAGGAAAACCCAAAGGAGGAGGAAGTAGTTTAAAACAAAAAAGCAGCTGGAAAAAAATTAAGAGATCATTAGCCATATTGAGTTTCATGAAACTTTGAGTGAATAAGATCTGGTGTTAACATGACATTTTTGACTGAGCCAAAAGAACCGTAACTCGTCATTTCAGAAGCTTAATCTGACAATTTGTTATTGTCATAGCGGCTACACACATGTAGCTGTGATGCTATTTAATGCTGAATGGCAACACTTTAAATAGCATCAAGCTGCAAATACAGTTTCCTAATCCAAAAATTATCTGTGAATCTTAAAGGTTTATAATTTGTGTGCCATTGGTAACTTGCCTATCCGGATTTGTGGTGCTTTGTCTAAGCTCAAGTCACAGACTTAGACCTGGAAATTTAAAGGTGGGGGTACTTATTTCATCCGACCTGTCATTTCCAGAAGGGGCGATGCAGTGCATCCCTCCCCCACCACACTTGAAGCTGCTTGTCCTGGCAGTAGAGTTCACATGGACCATAGAAATATGTCGGCGTTGTGAACAGTATCAGGAATGTACGTTTCTACATCACTAAGGCAGAGAAGTGCCCAAGCAGAGACAAAATTATGATGCTTTCTGTCATTATATAACCTCCAGACTTTTCTAGCCAAATACGAGTTTCTTCTGCTCTAAGGAGGTGAAGATATGTGTACACAGAAGGTGATGTTGCCTCTTCAATGACACTGTTACCAAGTCACACATGCTGCCCTTAACCAGAGCCATGGGGTACTAGCAATGGGTTACAGCATTAGAGCATTTTGATTGCTCCTATTAACAGACTAGATAGTAAAGATAGATAAAAGCAATAAATTATTTTTAAGGGTGGTTGTATGGAGAAGGATCGTGTGGTTTCAGTGATAGGCAGACATATAAGAATGATGTTCTGCCTGTAGAAAGATATATTGCCTCCACCTGGTATTTTCATCTAATTTTCATGGAGTACTTATTTCAAGTACTTACTCCAAAATGGATATAAAACTGCAATTTATATCATCAGAGAATAATTGATGGGATAGTGTAGTTTTGTTTTGTTTTGTTTTGTTTTGTTTTGTTTTGTTTTGGGTTAGATTCTTTTCTTCATAGTCAATACATTTCTTCATCTATTTTGAAGAAATTTAAAAATTACTTTATGTTTTTTCTAAATGAATTGTGATATAACCCTACTTTCTGGGTATTAATCAGCCCAAGCTTGACACTTCAATATTCTTTTAGTTGTAGCTCATGTAAAAAGGCTTCTGACCATATGAGCATGGACTGGAGAACGATTTCTAAATGTCAGGATATGGGCAGAAGTTTAACATTTGGTCCAAACACAAGTATGTACAGGCTGCTTTCTTACGTTATGAGTAGGTGTTTTCAGTAAATTGTATTACGTTGTGCCTACATGATTTTAACAAATAGGTGAAGTGTTTAATCTGTCTATATTTACATTTAAAATTCAGTAATGCCCATGTCTCTTTTGCTGATGTTAAAAGATAAATAACTTGATGAGTACAATTGATTAATTCTGGCCATTAAAGTGCTATATTATTTAGAAATCACCTATAGAAATTGTTTATCCTCATTACACATTCCAAATATTTAAAAATGTAAAATTTAAAAATTACATTTATTTATTTATTTGTGTGTGCGCATGAGTGTATGTATGTGTGCTGGTCTCAGTCTATGTGCGTCTATAGATGAGCATGCATATGCCATGGCCCCCACGGATGCCAGGGAACGACTTGAGTGGGTCCTGTTCTCGTCTTTTGGTTCTCTCCTTATGCTGTGTGTCTTGGGGGATCAAATTCGGGTTGACGGGCTTGCTAACAAGCGCCTTTAGCTGTTAAAGCATCTTTCGAGCTCCCAATTAAGATCTTGAAACATTTTTGAGGGTTATCAGATTTTAAAAGTAGCAATTACTTTAACTCTGAAGTAAAGCCCTATTAAGGCTGTTTAATGAAATGTGCGCAACTAAAATCATATTAAACAACCAACAGATAAAACAGACATAATGTGTTCATAATTTGTTTATTAATTTAGTGTTAATAAATCACAGCCATTATCATAGTATGATATCAGTCTGCTAGAATTTGCAGACTGATTTTAAACAATAAAATTAGAGAACATTCATGCATTCAGAATTCAGAATGTCAAGAAATAACTGGAAAAGTTGTTTAAAGTTATATTAATGAAGTATGGCCACAATCTAGAGCCTGGAAATGCATCTGATCTTTCAAGCCTTACACATCCTACTTGTGTGAAGTTAGGGCTCATAGTCTTATCAAATTGACTATCTTGAATGGCTTCCGGCTGAGACTGTTTCTGCGTCTTAATCCTGCTTAATGTGTGCATGTTTGTACAATTGTGTAATGATGCTAATCCATACTTATGCATACCAAAACAATGTCCGATTGGGTCCTGTTCCATAAAAGCTGAGATAACTGTGATCAGTTACCACACGATTTTCAAAAGAACCCAGCTCTGATAGATGCTTCACAAAGCAAGAGTCATCTCTCTGCTTCTCAACCTGGATAGAAAACGGAAGACAGAGGTTAGATACACACAAGATATACCCATGTACACACATAAGTATGTGCGATGTTTTACATGTAGGTGAGTGTGTGTGTGTGTGTGTGTGTGTGTGTGTGTGTGTGTGTGTGTTTTCCCATGGAACCCAGGTGTTCTAGTCAGCTTCAACTGCCAACTTGTTATTACCTATAGTCATCTGGAGGAGTCTCAGTTGAGGGATTTCCCAGATCAGATTGGCCTGTGGCCGTATCTGTGAGGAGCAGCCTTGATGGGTTATTTATGTGGGTGGGCCTGATACCCTGTGGAGTGTACCATCTTTTACAGCATGTATAATACAGCTTGCTTAACACAAGCCTGTGAGCAAGCCAAGGGCTTCCTCCATGGTCCCTGACTCCAGTTTCCTTCCTTGAGTTCCTGCTTTGACTTCCTGCCCTTCCTTCTCTTGGTGATGGATTGAGACCTGCAAGTGTGACCAAATAAACTCCTGGCTCCCCAGATTGCTTTTGGCCAGAGTGTTTTATCACCACAGCAGAAAGGAAACTAGGACACCAGGTATGGCGCTCATTGTCAGGTCAATAGAATTCAGAAGCGACATAAAAACAAAATCTAGGCTTGCCTGTGAGGGATCATAGGTTAAGCTGATGGAAAGAGGCTCTAAATGAAAACAGCATCATTTCCTGTGGGACAGGGTTCAGGACTGAGCAAAAAGGAGAGAGCAAGAGTTCGCTGGGCACAAGCGTTCATTGCTCCATGACTCCCTGACTTTGAACATGCGGTGACAGCTGCCCCAAGCTCCTGCTACTGTGGCTTTCTTACCACAGTGGATGACTGCACCTTGTAACCAAAATCATCTTCCTTCCTTAGAGTAACTATTTCGGTTCTTTTGTCATAACAATGAGAAAAGTAACTAACATACCAAAGCGTCACACTTGCAGTGGAAATGGTATATACCATGGAGTTACATCACCAGCCCACATATTATTACTCATATGTTACATGTTCTGATATTTTTGTCTCTTTGTTCTTGCATTTTAAATGAGGTAGCAAAAATAACAACAACAAACCAATCAAACAAAAGCCCTTTTCTTCCTTTTGATAATGAGACAAATACTGGGATATTTATAAAGAAAAGAAATTTCTTTTTGCTCATGGTTCTGGTTCAAGATCCAAACCAGGATCCATGCAGCTGACTTAAGGCCCAAACCAGGAAACATGTGTGTAAGGTGTGTTAGTCAG